CACACCGACAAGACTTCGGCAGCAACCCAGACTTCCACAGATAAGAAATACACACCAGAGCTTCTCCAGCTTTAGTATAATAATTGAATTCTGCAAACAGCCTCCTCCCAAAGTCTCTTCTTATATACTCTCTTGGGAGAAGCCTAATTACAACCACCTGGGTCCAATTATCTTCTGTATCTGCGTAGTTGCTGTTGGAGCTTATCTGCTGGCCTTTGCCTGACGTCAGGGACCAACTCCCTTTGGCTTTCACTGCTGCTCCATGCCTCAGGCGCATCTTGGTGGCCAACCAGCCTCTCTGGTCCCTGCTCGAAGTCTGAACCCTGTCCAGAGTCCTCCACATCTTCCAGAGCCGACTTATAGGACCCCTCGCTGTCAGAGTCTGTTTGCAGCTCCAACGGCTCCTGCTGGGCCACAACACTAGGCCAATATCACTTTTTCAGTATCTCATAGGCTTCCAGTTCCATGATCGACACAATCACAACCAGGTATGTTGGGAATTGTAATCCAGCAATACTTGAGAAGCCACACTTTCCTTGCTCTGTTCTGCCCATGCATTTTTCTATACATTTGCTATTCAAAATTCTTCCCTCTGCAAAAACAGTTTGGTTGTCCTTGTGTTAAAAAAATAATGCAAAGAAAGTAATAAGTGCTGTGAGAAAAATTAAATGCTGAAATGCAAAATGTGGTGGTGCAACATTGAAATATTAAAATAGGCTGTGCTTGGTTTATGGTATAGTTGTCAAGCGCTGGGAAAATCAGGTGATTCAAGCAGTTATTCAGAAATATAAAGATTTATTGCAAGCTTAAGCTCTCTACAAAATCTGAGCTGCTAATGGTCAAGGAACATGAATAGGAATAAGAAGGCATTCAATGTAGACTGAATTTAGATCTCTTGTGAGCGTGCAGGGACTCATGATTTATGATGTGTTTGACTTCTCCCTCAGGCTCAGCCTGGTCATCTACAAAAGTTATGATTTGAGGAAATTTCATTTTTATTTGGCTGAACATCATGGAAGGTGAAACGGGTACTGTTTTTTTCACCAATTTATTTATGAGAGCTCTTTGGTTTTTATATGATTCTTTACACATTTTAGCATATAAATAAAAGTAATGGAGGTGACTCAGTTTGAGGTAGGGTATCATCCTTATTCTGTTCATACAGTATATTAATTTTCAATGACTTTAATTTATGGCTTTAATTGATGTTATCTATTATGGTGAGAAAAAAGGAAGACAAGAATTATATGCCAGTACATTAAGGGCTGTCTGAACATAATAATAGCAAAGGCAATTAAAATTAAGTTATATTTATTTTTATTTATTTGTATTTCACCTTTATTATTTTTACAAATAACTCAAGGTGGCAAACATATCCAACACACCTTCCTCCTCTTATTTTCCCCATAACAGCGACTCTGTTAGGTGGGTTGGGCTAAGAGAGAGTGACTGGTCTTAGGTCCTGTAGCGGGCTTTCATGGCTAAGGTGGGTTTAGAATACCATATTATTCGGAGTATAAGATGGTCATTATCCCCATCACCTAGAACTGGTTAAAAATGCGACACACGGAGGTCAAAACAGAATATGCGGCTGTGATGGGTTCTATTTTTTTTTACTACTGTTTGGTGGGTGTGGCTAGGTGGGGGGTATGTTACTGAGTGGGCGTGTCCAACTTGGCATTACTCACGCACACACCAACTCAGTTACATGTCCCCCATCTAGACAAACTCACTGAACCGGCAAAAAATTCTGCTTTGCCAGCTGGGAGGCTAGCAAAGAAGCCTCGTTTTTTGTTGCCGCAGCTGCTTCTACCTCAGCGCTAAACAGCCCCTGCCCTCCCCCTACGGACTGGCACTGTAGGAGGGCAGGAAAGAAGCCAGTTTTGGAAGAGACATTTCCTCCCCCTCCAGAGAGCCCGGGTGAAGAGAGAGGAGGTGGGCGGTTTGTTGCCAGCACCTCCTTTGTTCGTTGGGGCGGCTGCAGAAAGACACATGTTGTAGCAGCGTGTACGACACCTGCCTAGGTGAAGACTGTGGGTGGGCAAGTTTTTTTTTCCTCTCTCTCTCTCTCCACCCACCCACCTCCTGCTGATTTTCCTGCCACTCCTCCCCTGCGTTGGCTCGTCACAAGAGTTGAAGAAATAAGAGCGGGGGATTAAGCAGAGACAAGAAGTCACCCAGAGGAGTGCTCCCCTTTGCCCTTGGTGGCGGGAGCTGCTTTTTCACGTGCCTCTTTTCTTTCTCTGCCCTCTCATTCCCTCGCTTGGCTGCTACTGCCGGGGTGCCACCAGGGCAAGCAAGGGAAGGAGAGAGGCCGTAGAAAGAAAGGAGGCATGCAATAAGCAGCCCCACCGCCAAGGTTCACCAGGATGAAAAGGTAACACGGTCAGTTGATTAGTCCAGCGCACCAGGCAGAGAATCCCCGGGTGCTGATCCTTAGCAGTGCCCCCATGCCAATTACAGTAGGACCCCTTCTTCTACCTCAGCACTGAACGGTCTGTGACCCCCACCCCCCCCACACACAGACCCTGTGCTTACCCTGGCGGCACCCCGGCGGTAGCAGCCTAGCAAGGGAAGGAGAGCGGCTGGAGAACGAAGTGGGTGTGGTGCACCCAGAGATGCTGTTTCTTCACAAAGCTGAGGACGTATGAGGCACTTTTTCCATCCTCGGCGATTACGAGGAAGCGGCTCTGTGTGCGCCACACCCTCTTCATTCTCTTCAAGAGCTGCTTTGCACCTTGTTTGCAAACACACCGCTTGGAACTCACTGCCACTCCCCCTCGCCACTTGGAGCTCCAGGCGGCTGGTGAAAGGTGAGCGAGGATCCCACTCAGCATTTTTTCCTGCCAGTGGAAAAAGTGCTGGGAGCTCACACCCGCCATTCTGCCCGCCGATTAGAGCTCCAAGAAGGGGGGCTGCAAAGCTAGCAGCTTCAGGAGACGCTGACCGGTGGGGAGGAGAGGCTAGGCTAGAATGAATGCTTATCTGTGTCTAGGCAGGAGGATGCAGTTCTGTGGATGCACATGGTGAAAACAAGTCAGGGCGATCATCAGAATGGGCCACTTCAGGGGCGTGGTCATCCAGCCATCACTACCAGTTCAGCGACCCAGCCCCAATTAGCACTACCGGTTCACCTGAACCAGTCTGAACCGGGAGCAACCCACCTCTGGTGTGTGGATGCCAAAAACATGCGCAGATGCCAAAAACGCAGTGCATGGAGGCGGGGATCAGTGTCAATGTTCTGTGGCAATCCCCGCAGCCTGGAATGAGTCTAAAATGGGACGTGCAGAGGCCAAAAATGTGAAGCATGGAGACAGGGATAGGCGACAATGTGCTGTGGCGATACCCGCAGCCTGGAACATATCTAAAATGGAGCATGCGAAGGCCAAAAAAGGGACACGTGGAGGCTGAAAATGGCCAAAGGGGGAGGGCGGTGAGTGGGTGGGGCTTCAGCAACATTCACTGTATAAGACACACAGACATTTCCACCTAGTATTGTGGGGTGGGGAGTATATTTTATAGGCCGAAAAATACGGTACTTGTATGATAGCTAGAATTTGTTCAGATTGTTAAGCAGATAGACAGAAAGCATTGAACCTATTCATTTAAATAAATACTGTTGTAACAGTCTGGGTCTTTAGTCTCCTTTTTCATCCTCCCTTCCAATGATGTGACTTCTAATATTAAAAGTAATTGATCATCCACAAGAAAAACTATCCTACTCAATCTCTCTTCCTATGAGAGGAAATCAACACATTGCTTTGCATACCTGTCATGTAAGCACTTGTCTGCATTTGTTTGTGGATTGAAATTCAAGTCCGTTTAAAACAATTATCTTGAGCAGCTTTTTCAAAAAAATAGGTTTTACATAAAAGTATGACCATGGTAGAGCTGAGACATGTTCTTACTATATACTTATCAGCTTGAGTTTTAAGTTTTGAATGTGTTCGTATCTTTGCTTTTGCTTTCTTTTAAAGGAAGAGATTGCGATGAATGTTTAAATTGATGCTGCTCACTTTAAAAAAAAGTCAGTAGTAATACAAAAACAACTAATAAAATTCAGAGTTCATGTCTGCATATGTGTCCTGATATCTACAATCAAAGAAATCCAGTACAGTTATAGCTCTGAGTTGAAGTATGTACAACTATGTACCTTAAATTAGTACTCTTACCTGAATAAATATAATTTTATATACATTTTAAGTTCTTGTTACATTTGATTCTTGCTAAATTTGTATATGAAAGATACAAGATACAGGTGTTCACATCAAACTTATCGGGCCCTTATCGGGCCAATAAATATCTAAAGTAAGAGCCATAAAAGGAAATAAATCTAAATGCAAAACCATTGTTTCGTATGCTATCCAGACATATTTTTCATTCTTTTCACCTAGTCTTTGTTTTGTTTTTCACCTCAGCTATCTACACATAACATTCAGTTACTTTTCCATGCTATGTATACTCATTTGTCCAATTAGCCTGAGAAGAATGCTTTATGTTTATGTTATCAAGTCCAAGTATTGTCTCCTTCTTGTGTATAGTTGATTCATAGAGTTGACACCCAAAAGGCCTTTGAATTGTCAAAATACTCAGGGTTTTTTATATGTACTTTTGCTTATTTGGTTTTGGGGTTTGCCATTGGATATTTTCATTATTTTGCCATTATTATTCTTTGAGCTATTTTAATTTAGTGCTCTCTGCATTTAGTTGTTTTCTTGCGGATGATTCATTACCCAATTAGGTAATGTCATCAGTGCTAGTAGGAGTGGGGTTTTCTTGTTTTCTTGTGGAGAACAAACCCCACTCCCTACTAGCACTAATGAGTTATCTAGCTGGGAAATGAAATGGCTGCAAGAAAACAACCAAACTCAGAGAAAACCAGGGACATCACAGTTTAACCTTGAGGTACAAATACTCTGTTAATACTTTAACTGAGTTGATCAAAATAATTTTATCACAGAATTGTAATTTTTGCTTTGTTTTTTGTTTTCCACATTTAGGGACATCAGTATGAACAATATAACAAGATTACCAGAGAATGCCTTCAAGAATTTTCCTTATCTTGAAGAGCTGTGAGTATTAAATCTAACATACTTTGTAGTATGGAAAGTGAATGAGTGAAGGAGATTGGCTGAAGAATTCCTTTAAAACTAAATAACAAAGAGTAATGATACTGTGCTAATGAGAGAGAAAACATATTTCTTCAAATACCATTTGCACAGGACCTTTTCATAGTAATTATTTTAATTGTGATTCCAGTGTTGCCCAAAGGCAGTATGGGAGTGTCTAATTACCACAGCTTTAAATGGAGCTGTACTATATTGATTCCATAACTTGCACATACAATATGTGACAAATTCTTGTGCTTACCATGTGCCAGGAACTTCTGAATGATAGGGGAAAATATTTTGCCGTGTCTAATTTGAAAGCTGAAAACCCAAAAAACAAACAATAAAAACCCTTTCGTCTCTCCAATTCTTGCCACTATATCAGAGGTATACAGTACTTCACAATTCCTAAAAATAGCTAAGCACAGATTCCCAAAAATCATTAGGGCAGACCTAGATCATCTGAGATGTGGTATCTTTGTACATTATCCAATTCATGATCCCAGTTTATCAAACATTTACTAACTAGTTTGCTTTATTTGCACACAAGAACAAGAAAAAAGTGCCAACTCTTTGTTTTACAAAAATGTCCTGTTCCAACCACTAAGAAATCATTGCATGTGATAAGCTGGGAATTGTCCTGTAATTAAGAACCACATTTTGCTTCAGAGATTTATAGATTGTCACTGATGTTACTAAAAGGACATAATAAAATTTTATCTCATTCTTAAGAAAAAGTTAAAAATAAACTGTTATGTTAAGATTAGCCAGATCACTTTATCCTTGGGCTGTAGCACACAACTTGTAAACTTCAATAATTTTAAATATATGGTGCAACTTTCTAAAATTTTGAAATAATTTAATATGTATTTCTTTTAATGTTTATATTGCCCAATTCAATGCATCATGGAGAAATATAGACAGACAGACAGACAGACAGACAGACACACACACACACACACACACAACATTTCTTTTAGTAGAATAATAGCCGGCATACTGGCTATATAGTGGTATGAATAGGATCAATATATAATTTTCTCACTACATGGCATTGGACTTAGATGTTTGTCAGGAGAATTGCACATTTCCTGATCCCTTTTTGTTGAAGGAAAGGAAGATATATAATGGACAATGTTTTTAAATCACAGAAATTAAGAGGAAAAGTTCTAAAATTCCCAGGAGCATAGAAACTGAAAAAAGCCTCACCTAGCTATTCAGTCTAAATTGCCTCTTCTATTAAAAGGTTCCACCCAAAGACAGAAGCCTCAAGGAAAGCCATCTAAATTGTTTTTATTTCTAGAAAATATTTGCTGACCTTTGATACACACTGTAGTTCACAGAGCAGGATAGGCTGACAAACCTGAAACTCCTTTACTACTTATAAATAAAACAATTAGAACTTGGAAATTTTTTCTTAGTAGTTGAGAACTTTATAAGTGAGAGCTGTATAGTCATTTGGGGGCATTTGTCTGCACTTTAAGATAGACATTCAGAACTCTTGTACTACCTGTAATATTTGCTGTTGTAAACTTCATAAAATATATTATGGGAACCAAAACTCAAGAACAAATTCTACTGAATATTGCAAATATTGTTAAAATTATAGGTTCCTTATAATGTGGACCTATTGAATCCCTTCTGGTATAATAGGCATGGTCCACATTCACTTTTTTAATAGTAGTTTAGAAATTATCTTATATTCAGATATGCAAGTGGACTAATGTTTATAGTAGATTTCCTCCTGTCACATTTGTTATATTGGTTTGTTTTCTCCTTCCTTCCATCATGAAGTTTACTTCATGTTGACCATTAATTATTATAAGTGTAATCAAATGAAAGAGTTATAGTTTATACACTGTTCAGACCAACTATGTGTATACAATTTACATAATAATATTAGTATTTAATAATCTGTACATGCTAATGAATATAATGGAAATTCTTGCTTTTGTGGCAATTACTCTTCGGAAAGTAATTTATTAAAAAAACCATTACAGAAGACTATCATGGACTTTTAGATTTCCTTTAATGATATGTGTTCTCTTTGTAACATCAACATGAGCATTAGAGCTGTGAAAATCATTCTTGAAAGCTTGCTATATCTATTTTAAGGCATGTTTTACAGTTCTGAGCACTTACGTTACATGTGCACCTGCCAAGATTCCTTTACAAATTGTAAATCAGTTGTAATTAGTATGTTGCTGCCCTGGGTATTAGATAGGGACTAGAATTCCTGGAGAGTTTGACAGCTGTCTTGCTTTCCCTGCAAAATATCTACAGTTCTGTACAAATATCTGAATGTATTCCACAAAATTATTTTTAAAAAAACTTAAAGTAGTTGTAGCTACTCCTCCTCTTAGCATAAATGTATTAGCATTAAAGGATTTAGAAACCCTAGAATTTGGAGTTCTTTGTCATTCAAAAGTGCACAAATTGTTGCAATAGTGATTATTCAAGTTCAAGATGGCACCACTTGTAGTAACAACAGAAAGAAAAGACAAAAATCATCCTTTGGAATATACAAATGAAAAGACACTCAAAGAAGTGAGTGTTTACTTAAGGATGTGTTCCTGTAAAAAAAAGGGTAGGGGGATGACAGATGACTCTGGTTACATATAAAAGCTTTTCTGGGAATAAAACAAGAAAATTCATGCTCTGAAGCTGGATCTAATCTAATGTTTTATAGCTGTGCTGAGTATTTAAAAGTATTTTGCAATGAAAAGCCCTTTCTTGGATTGTTAAAGTAACTGCATTCTTTGGAAGCTTCAAAGCCCATCCCATACTGTCTATGCATTTGTGAGTGTGGACAGCTTAGCTGGCAGTTTTGAAGGAAGAGTTGTCTGCGCACACGTACGTGTGTGCACCCACATCTGGAGAAAGTGAAGCAAAAGCAGCCAAGTGAGCATTCCAAAATCTGTTGTAGCGCTTTCAAAGTAATGCTTTATGTCTACTTTGGAACCAACACTTTCAGATTCTTGGTACAGAATATTGGATTGTACTACCCCAAACTTCTCCCTTTTCAAAAACCCACATCTGGATAGGCTAAGCAAATATAAATTCTAGAACTCCTTTAATTGTACTGCTGTCACTAATCTCCAGTTACGTGGGCTTGTGGCTTACAGCTTAATTTTTAACTCGGATTTTATTTTACTTTTGTAGGTGGCACCATTTATCTCTTGAATTTTAATTAAATTTTATGTAACCGTATAGCGCAACCTGGTCCCTACCGCCCACTAGTGGGCGTTCCAGCTTTCATGGTGGGCGGTACGG